GATGTTCGGAATGGGAGAATTGGGGATGTTCAGAATGGGGGAATTGGGGATGTTTGGAATGGGGGAATTGGGGATGCTGGAATGGGGCAATTGGGGATGTTCGGAACGGTGGAATTGCAGTCCCGTGGGGATGCTGCAGTGCAGGGCCTTTGCAAAGCAAGCGGGAGAAGAGCAAATCCGCTTTTTCCACAGCCTCCTTAATGCGAAACAGCCGATTAACTAGTTGGTGGAGGCGGCGAGGTCGGTGTGTCCTTGTTAACCCTGCCAGGCTCCCGGGGCCGGGCAGCTACCGGGGGCTCCCGCAGCCCGGCCGGCTCCGCGGCAGCAGCAACCTGCGGCTCTCGCGGGGACCTGGGGCTGGCGGCACTTGCAGCGGCTGGTGCTTTGCAACCGCAACCCCCGGACACCGATGGGGGAAAAAAACCTCCCCTTGGAGCTGTGAAGGTCTGTGCAACTTTGGAGCAACTCTTAGGAAAACCAGGGCTGTGGCAACCTGGACTGTGCTACTCAGATCTCGCCACCTGATGAAAAAAGAGGGAAAAAAGTCCTGCTTTGGGAGGAAGGAGCCTCCTCCATCAGACCACTTTTTTATTGCTTTATCCATTTCTTTCATTTTTTTAAAATTCATGACCATTTATTCATTTTTTTGTTCATTTTATTCATTATGGGTGCCTCGTGGCTGCTTGTGGCTCCCCTGCACACCACTCACCCCATTGCATGCACCCCGTTGCTTGCACCCCATTGCTTGCACCCCATTGCACGCACCCCATTGCATGCACCCCGTTGCATGCACTCCATTGCATGCACCCCGTTCCATGCACCCCATTGCATGCAACCCGTTGCACACACCCTGTTGCATGCACCCCATTGCACGCACACTGCAGAGAGGCCCCACTTGCTCTCCTAGCCGTGGACGCCTTTGGCGAGCTCCTCGGGGTCACGCGGCGGGAAACCCAATTCCGCACCAGCTGCGGGTAAATTCCGAGCGGTAGCAACTGGCTGGGGTGATATTAAAGTCAGCAGATTTCACACGCCGTGCTGGAGCGTGCTGCAGACCCTCGGCTTTAATCGGAAAGGCCTTGCGGGGGCTGCAGTGTGGCCGAGAGATGTGTGTTTTGGTGCCCAGAAAGGTGTGGGAGACGGCCCGAGATCTCGCCCAGGAGCCCAAAGCTGCATTTTCCTGCTGCGGCCCCCAGGGATGAAGGGGGTAGGAGCCACATCCGAGCCGCCTTCCCCACGCAAGGCATCCTCGGGCGAGGAGCGGCTCCATTGGCACCTCTGTGTCCGAGGCACCTTCCAGCCCTTGAGGACTGTTGACCTGCAAGGCGGCACACTCGGAGGACAGTGAGGTTTAAGGAGTGTGAAAGCCCTCCCATGGGCTGGGTGCAGGGTCCAATGTGGTTATTGCCGTCACCAGGTAGGGAAGCAGGTGATGCCTCTATATGTATATGTATGTGTACGCATATATGGGGGATTAGCGAGGACGAGGCAGCAGGTCCCACCAGGAGAGAGGACGGTTGGGCAGTAGGTGGGACACAGACGCAGCAGAGCCCCACGTGCCCTTGGAGAGCCCTGACCCTGGGGCTGCTGCTGTCCGGCTCCCACAGAGCGGATCCAGCATCTCCCTATCCCTACATCCCAACATGGGAGACGAGGACACATGGGAGTCACCCCTGCTTCTCCAGGCACCGTAACCACAACCCCACTTCCAAATACTGATGCAGGAGCAATGCAGGGATTGGCATCCTATGAGTTCTCCGTGTTGTTCCCGTTGGTGGCCACTCTCTGCTCTACAGTTTCCTTCTCCTAGGCTGGCAAAGGAAGCTCTGCAGGAGACAGGTCCTGCCACCTAAGGGACACTCGGGTAGAGGCACCACCCAGAGGGCTTGTCCGGCTCTGAAGTGATGCTTGAGGCTCCCCAGAGCTCCGGACCTGCCAAGCAAGGGAAATAACTCAGGGCTTTCATCCTGTAGCATTGAGGGCAGGACGAGCCCAGAGCTGACACTGTCCCCAAGGGGGAAGGGAAGGGCGGCTCGGAGGAGAGGACACCTGGCTGGAATTGGAGGGACCCGTGCAGGAGTCCCTTGTCCATACCTCCTGGGAAAACCAGTTGATTGCCTCCTGCCTCAGTTTCCCTTGCAGTGGAACAGGGATCACAGCACCTCGCAGATGTGGCAGGACTCCACAGCATGTGCAGACACTGGCAGAGAGGCTCTCTGGCCAAGCGTACACTAGCCCAAAACCAGGGCCAGCAGGGCCCTGGGGCCATCTGTCCTGCAGATGGGCAGAACTGCGTGAGCTGGGCTTTTATTTTAATTTATCTTATTTTTGGTGCACGTGGGTCTCCGTGCCAGAGGCTCTTGCAATTGGAGATCCTGCAGATCACGGGTTTGGGGGCCTCACCCTCTGCCCGAGCCCTCGTTTGCGAGCAGAGATGCTCCTCTGGATGTGATCCATAGTGTTCCCAGCAACAATCTCATTCCAGGGGAAATGCCAGCCCCGCTTGGGATGGCAAAGGGTTTTCATGGACCCAGCCCAGCCGAGTGTCCCTCCCCACCGATTTCCAGCGGTGCCTTCTCCCATTTGTGCCCCAGCCCCTTACGCTGCTCAAAGCAGAGCAGAATTCCTCCTCCTCCCTTTAGGAAAGTCCTTGGACGAGATGCACGGTGGGTTTTTTTTCCCTTCTAAGCCCTGCAGCCTCTGCATCTATTTTTAAGCCTCCCGAGGACAAGGCTGCGCAAGGGACAGACGCTCAGCTGCGAGGGGAAACCGGGAGGGACGGTGCCAAGCAGACTTGGGGCTCCGATTTATATAGAAAAAAATCTCTCCGAAATTAGTTCCAGATAAGGGGTGACCTACAAAGCTCGACAGCTGTGCCTGGACCGGCTGTCCCCGCACCGGCTCCGAGCGCATCCAGATGTGCCGCTCTCCCCCACGCCGTGGCCGGAGCCATGGAAATTCCCGCAGTTTCTGCTCTCCGGGGGCTGGAAGCAGCCCAGGAGCAGCCCCGCTGCCAGGACGGATCGCTGGCTTCTTGTCCCAGTCTCCACACGGGATATTTTGGGCGTCGGGAACATCTTGACGGCTCTGCGCTCGGCGGCGTCTCGCTCACGTCAGCTCTGCAGCCACCTCGGGTGAAGCGGGACGGCCTCTTGGAAGACTTTCCCCTGTTCTTCCCACTCCTGGTTGCAGGTTGTGGTTGCATCTCCACCCCCTTGCCCTCTCCTCTTTGGGTCCCCAGCTCTTGCACCTAGCCCAGACAGAAGCTTTGACTTGGTCAGAGCTTCTAGGAGCTCCTGCAAGAAGCACAGGGACTCATCTGGCGGGCAACTCCCACATGGTGGTGGAAATAAGCCTGCGTTTAGGAGATTGCAAATATTTTTGTGGTTAAAAATAAAATAAACACACCATAAAAAACAGCCCATCAAATAGTCATTTCTAAAGATTCCTGCCATGCAAGAAACACTGCTTATTTCTGCTCTCACGCTGTATTGAGCTTGTTCCCCCTTCTTGAGGGTTATTCCATCAAGAATTGTGTGCATCAAATGCATTGGCCCCAGGGCCAATCCACACCGGGTCTCACTAGTGCAAGGCCCTGACCAAGTGAAGGGTTGGGGCTGCCCCATGCCCCAAACCCCAAACCAGATGGGCAAAGCACAGAGGCGAAGCCCAGCGGCAGAGAAGCCAGAGCAATATCAGCCCCGCAAGCTCCATGATTATTTTTCCATCAAGCGCTGTTGATGCTCCCTGCTGCCCACGAGCTGGGGAAAGCGCCCAACCGTTCTCTGTCTGTGGTCCCTCAAGGGTCACCACCATGCAGGGGGCTTTGCCATGGCACCCTGTGCCACAGAGAATACCCTTAACTGCAAAACTATAGTGGCTGGGAGATCTACCTTCATCCCAAACGTGTCTCCTCTGAATATCTAAGTGGAAGAAAGCAGATATGAGGGTGGCGGACATCAAAGTGAGGAGTCAAAGTGATGGCTATGGATCAAAGGTACCTTTTGGAGGCTTTTGATGCTTGTGTGATGGCATTGCTGGACATGCCCCAAAATATGGTCTTGAGCAATGTCAGGCTCATCTGCAAGTCAAGCACGGAGGGTTTCCAGCCAAGGCTGTTGTGTAGGACTACCCTTGTGGATAGGCTGCTGCAAGACCTGTTGTGTAGCCATAATCCTTGGGAGCAGTGAATAAAATGAAGCTTCTGGAAAGAACATTACTATTCTCAGTAGACTGAAGATAAATTCAAGCTAAATCTCTTCTGGAATGGACTTCCAGGCCTCTCCAGGCTCAGATATTCCTTATTTTTGCCCCTCTAAGGCCTGTGCTGTGAGTCTTATGGGTCTCAGTCCCTCAGGACTTTGGTTTGCAGCTCACAGGATAAGGAAAGTTGGTCACCCTGTCACAAGGGGACTGTATTAGGTCCCCACTCTAGCAAGTGGTCTTGTAACGGAGCTGGATATTAAGTATTCAGAAGTTTCCTTGCAGACAAGACTTCCCAGGAGCTGTTCCTGCCAACATGGTCATCTGTAAGAAGAGAGTGCAAAATAACCCCAAACAAGTGGATTCTATATGAATACGTGAATGCAAATTAAATGCACGAAACCTCCCTCACCCACATGAACTCAAGGGCTGTGAGCTACAAAGAGAAGAAAGGCTCCTTCAAAATATTATAATCTAACATGAGATATTACAAGTTCTTTAGTTCTTGTAGAGCTTTCTGCCCTGGAAATGAGAATGAAAATCCACCTGGCATTTAAATTCTGTGGTTTGGTGAATGGAGCCAGAGGAATGGGAAAATGGTCCTCAGAGAGAAATCTTCCTCTGATGAGAAAACAGTGATAGATTTCACCAGAATGGGATGGTCAGAAACCCCAGGAGGAGATGTCCTAGGTGAAGCTCCTGAGCGTCCTGATAACCTCACAGGGAGCTGCAAGGTCCAGGTAAAGCACAGTCCTCCTCCTGCACTGAGCAGACCAGAGTGACACAAAATAGCTCTCTCTATTTGATGTCACAGCAATTTTGAATTCCTAGTTCCACCTGGAAGCACCTTTGAGCTCCTCAGGCCTTGGGATAAGTCTCCTTGGAGTTTCTGAGCAGGTGGCCACTCAATCAGCGGCCTCTTCCAAGGCGGGTAGTCTACTGGGGCTCCTCCGAAAATATTTTTGGGCCTCACAGGACTGATAACAGTGAAGCAGCCACGTCGCCCCATCAAGGGTCACTTTTGGGCAGTGCTTCCCTTGCCCATGCTGGATGAACTAAGATCTGCAGGACACACTGAGCAACGTGGGCTGGGAATGAGAAAGCCAGAGGCGAATAGACCTGGACTGGGGCTCTGTGACATGGGGACTTAAACGTCACAGGGACGTATCAGGACTTCTTGAATACAGAGCTTTCCATTCTCCTTCTTCCCGGACATTTTTCCATCTGGCCTGCTTTTCTACTTGATCAAACAGGGACCAAATGGCCCCAATGTGGATATTTTGGACACAACAGAAGAGGGAATGTTGGGCTAGAGACAGATCCTTTTTGATCAGCAAATTCACCTTTGCTTTCATCATGCTTCAGTTCCCATTATCCAAAACAGAGGCTCTGCTTGCCTCTGCTCTGGAGAGCTAATTAATTAAAGTTCCCAAGGCAATTAATTAAGATTCCCAGCATGGTGAAGGCCCAGATCCATTGCTCTATATCACAGGACCTTCCTTCCTCTTTGCCTAGATTTTGACTATATGTAATATATGTGTTTTATATAATAATATATATTTTATATATTCTACATAAATAAATATATATAATTTTTATATATGCATTTTATATACAATATATATAAAAATATAACATCTACAGAGGTGCAGAGACAACTTTAATACCAGGTAGGACAGCCTCTACCCCAAACTCTCTGCTGTTTTTCTTTTTCTCCTGTTTATTCCTTCCTGATGGATGTTCATTAGCAGCATCGTTAGCAGCTGTTGGCCAAGGGCATTGCCGGGCGGTTTGCAGCAGGGGCTTAGGATGAAAACGAAAGGCAAAGCCTGGCTTTAATTTAAATCAAGGCCACAAGGCAGCTGTGACTCTGGTACAGTAGGTAGTGGCTGGTGTGGAGGACTTAGGTTTCAAAACAACTGCATGGAGAAGCAAGATTTGGAGGCCTGCTTGCAATTTTGTTCTCCTCCCCCTCCTTAAAAAAAAAAGAAGAAAAAAAGAAAAAGAGGAAAAAAGAAAAAAATGAAAAAGAGGGAAAAAAGGAAAAAGAAAAAAAGAAAAAAAAGAAAAAAAGAAAAAGAAAAAAGGAAAAGAAAAAGAAAGTGCTCTGTATGTACTGGAGATTTCATACAAAAGGCCCAGCAAAATGTGGCAATTTGCATCTTGAGTTGTGTATGGTAATATAGGCTTGAATTTTTTTTTTTTTTCTTTCTCTTAAAAGGTCATGTCTTGTGAAAAATGATGGTTGGACACAAGTGAGAATCTGCCTCATTTTTGAGCCTGGGTGCCGTTCCCCCCTGCTCTGTAAATGCCTGCTGCAAAGTAGCTATGGGGTAAACCTGCCTGAGGGGTGGTTTGAGATAATTTCCACATTTATGTATTTTTCCCATGACCCAGGCATGACCTTTGGGAAATGAGAGAGAGAAAAAAAAAAAAAAAAAAAAAAAAAAAAAAAAAAAGACTAAAAAGAAATAAGAAGAAAAGAAAATACCAGTGAGGGGGAGAAAAAAACCCTTTCAGTGCAAAGAGTCAAATATTGAGTCTTCACTGAACCATCTTAATGCCTGCTTTTCTTCTAGTTAAGTTTTTGGTAGGAGACTGGAGCACCCGAATTTCCCAGCTGGAACAGACCAAGTGCAACCACTGGATCTTCGGCCCTTCGGAAGCTAGAAGGGAGCAGCAGAAATAATACAGGTATGTGCGTGTGTATATTTTATATATATACACTATATATATAAAAATATATACGTGTGTGTGTGCAGCGTGGTCAAAACTGATGCACAACATCTCCTATAATTTTGGCCCCATTTTGACTCCCTGCAGTTCTCCCAAGCGCTTCTATCCAACATTCCCATGCAACAGTGGCTTGCAGGGGGTAATGCAGTTCTGGATGCACACGGAGATGGGACAGGCCTTTGCATGGAGCAGAGCTCTTCGGTGAGATCCTTGTATATATAATATATCTCTCCTTCAAAATATCTTTGATAGAAGCAGTCTTGCAATGCTTACAGAAAGCTCCAGAGCTGCAAGCTGTGCTTAACAAGGAAGCTCTGCTTTAGTCCTGCAAAATAGCAGCCATCATTGAAGATTGTAGCTGGATTTTGACTTTAGAAAACCAGAACCTCTTTCTATCTGTACTTCTATCTGGAATTTGATTTTTGGCTCAGAAAGGCAGGTTTCTTGACAGTCTTTTAATGCTTTCTTGACCCACATCCAACTTCACTTCATCTTGGCTTCGTCAGTAAGAGTTTTCCCCTTTCTGCTCTGTTTTATATGGTTTCCATGCCCTGACATGACCCCCATTAATTTCAGTGTAAAAAGCATTTGTCTAAAGACAAGAGTTCCTCTGGCTTTTTTCACTTTTTTTTTTTTTCCCCTCCCTCCAAACCTCTGTTTCTGGGCTAATAATTTTTTACGAGTTAAGTGATTTCTAGTGACTAATTTGCAAGCTCCATTCATTATTTCCAAGTTGGGATTTTATTGGCAGAGAAGGTAAACAAATAACGTTTGTTGCCGTATATTCCACAGCCTCCTGTTAAGTCAATTTTACTCTTCACTTTTTGAGCCTGGCTTCTGTTTGCATCGTGTCCCATGGGCCATGGGGAAGGGGTCTTGCTGTTGAAGCAATTCTGAGCTGCCTGCGTTGCTGCTCCTCCATGCAGACAGGGTCTGCACATGGAATGGGTGGGAAAAGGGTTATTTTGTGTGTGTGTGCCCATGCTGGTGGGGCTTACCTGCTTCTGAAGTGCCAAGCCCTTCCTGGCATTGGAACGATGAGCCTGGGATGTGCCAGGGCTCATCCCTGACCCAAGGTAGGTGGTTACCAACCTGGACTAATAGCATGGGCTAATGGCACAAATTCCCCTCTCCGTCTCCTCTTTTCCTTCTCAGTATCTTTTCCAGGCACAGGGGACATCTACTCAAGAGTGTAGGCTGGGAGGATGTTCTTCATCCGAAATCAGAGAGGCACCAGGTTGTCCTTGAGGGGAGCTGGGTCCAGTTCTTGGCTCTGCCATCCCCTCTCTGACACGTAGCGGGAGAAAACTGGAGTTCAAGTTCAGTGTTCCTAAACAGGAGGTTAATCCTGCTGTTAAACAGAGTTTAATTCTGCTTAATCCAGGAGCAATGCACTCATTGCAGTCAAATTGAGCGTGTTCTGTTCCCGTCGCGCTGCCATCAGGAAGCTTTCAGGCCAGGACTTTTCAGTACTGTGGCCTAGGTTAAGAGAAGAGAGAGGGGAAAAAAAAGAAGAAAAAATCACAGTTTGCCACTGTAATAACATCTTGAATATGTTTTTTTGGGGAGAGTGACTGGTATGTCCAAGAATCTCCCATCTAACCACAGTCCTCTTCACATTTCATCTGCATATGATTTCTGCCCTTTCTGGAGAGTTTGGCATTTACAGCAGAACGTTGTTTTTGGACTCTGACGGCGCTAATGCAGACTTTCTTGAGCGACTAAGTCAATGGACTGTGCACGGGGCTGCGTGCCACCATGGGAAATGTGTCATCGCGGGCAGAAACGTGTCCCAGGCACCGTGACTCGCACCACGCTCCACATGTATAGGCTGGACGCTGCGTGTTGGCCAAGAGTTGTCCAAGAGTTACGAGGCAGGAGGCTTTTGAGGCTGCTGAGCCGGGTTCTCAGATGTTCCCCATCACGTTGGCAGGGGGAGGGAGCCAGAAAGCTGACTTAACTCCCTAGGGAACCCCGACTGGATGGGCCCGGAGGTCCTTGTAACCGCTCCTTGTTGGGTCTGCGTGGCTGAGCAGTCCCAGATTTTAGAGCTGCTCTTGTGACACAAACCGCAAACCACCACCTGGAGCGAAGGGGTGACTCCACGTCCCTGTGATCCATGGGCTTTTCCAGCCAGAACCACCCACTGTGAGGACAGAACCTGGTGACTTCACGCCTAAAGGGCTTGGAGGGTCTGAGTTAAAATCCTGTCTGGCTCCAGGCGTCCCAGCAGACTGTGGGTAGCTCTTGATCATCTCTTGATCATCAGAATGGGTCTCCATGCCCCTGGCAGTACAGGAACCTGACTCAGAAGACCCTGTTTTCAAATTAAGCAAAAGAAGGGAAAACCAACTGCCTGGAAGAGCAGAGCAGGGAAGCAGCCCTGGCATGCAGGTTGGATGAAGGAATTCGTGCAAACACCCAATTCTGAAGCAATCCGAGAAGGTTCCAATGACGTTTAAGAAGTGGTGGAGCTGATTTATAGTGCACAGAGATAGACGAATAATGAGTTTTTCTTTTCAGCAACTGACCTGCAAAGCTGGTAGCAGGGATGGATTAGGAAATTTGATTTGTGGTCATTTGAAACAAGGATTTTTTTTCCAGCTTTCAGGGAAAATCAATATATATACATATCAATATGTATACATGAGGACTTAGCATGACTTTTATTTATTTATTTACCTGAAATAAAAGGTTTCATTTTCAGGTCATAGAACTCTTCTTGAAAACTTTTAGTTGGCAAAAACAAAATGTAGTCTCTTGCTTTATGCCCCAAAGTGGTTCAAGAAAGAGGGTGATCATTTTGGAATGGATTGCATGTTGCAGGAATCCTAGGGATCAGGAGGTGACCATGCCGAGCTCCAGCCCTGTGCCACCGCAGCGTGGGCTTCGTGGTCCCGCTTCCCTCACGGTGGCTATCAAAACCTCCAGATATCACTTGAGCCTTTGGCTCTCT